GAGTGGGAATGCACCTACAATGTGAATTTCAGACCCCTCCATGATTTCTAAGTGGGAGAACTTGCAAAATCGCAGGATGTTCAAATACCTCTGTTCCTCACTGTATCCTCTGAGGACAAGTCGGTTATACTGTATATCATATTTATATGCAAGTATGTTTCTGGAAAAGATGTAACAATGTGAATTTGACGCAACATTAAATAAATGACCTTGCGTTCTTACCGACTGATGTTTCCGGAGTAATGTCTTCAAAGAAGTACTGAGTAGCTTCAAAGGCAGAGTCGGGCTCATCCTGTTCATGAGTGATTTCTGGGAAAAAATTTAATGAGTCTGTCAGAATTCAACTTAGACTGTGAAATCATCATGTGAACAACTTTTTTCCAAGTCATCTGACATTTTCCATTTTAAAATTACATTTCAGTATATTTTTAAAAACAGCCTCTCCACTATTACTGAGTGGTCAAAACTACAAAGTTACAGAAATCCAGAGTCATAGTATTTTAAATACAGCACTCAATTTTGAATAATTTAAGGGAAGGGAAATCTGAGAAAGCTTAACATTTTCTCTCTAATATTTTTATAATTCTATTTTGACTTAGGCAAGATCACTGAATTGCATTAATGCACACTCACCAGGTATAACATGCATCTTGTAGAGGAGCTTCAGTTTCTCAGTGAGGTCCCCGTGACACAAAACGCCTACAACACAACAAGCTTTAGAACCTAACCGTGTGATAGATCTATTTAATGAATTGAAACAGTCTGTGCGAGTGATTTTACAAACCGTTCTCAAGGGGACACACTCTCTTTCTCTACTTACCCAGGCCATTGATGAACTCACGGAAGTTGATGAGGGTATCTCCATTGTGATCAAGGAGACTGAAGAAGCGTGTGGCCAGTGGGTCAGAGTGAGCTCCATTGGCCCAGGGGAACAGCAGGTTGAACAGGCCCTTAAATTGCTCCATGTCAATGCGGTATTGCTCCAGGTAGGGCAGGCTGGGGTCATGGCGCTCTGTAGGGTTGCTGCTGCCACCCCAGTAACAGCTGGTCAGGTGCTCCGCCTGAAGATAGGAAGAACGGGGTATTTAAAAAAAACACAACCCCTTGAGAGACCATATGAAAATCAATAACAAAAAAATAACTAAAGAACATGTTTTGCTGAGATTGAATTAAAAGATTAATGTGGCTTGACTAAAACAACCATTAGCATAGTTGCATTATGCCATGTTTGTGAAGTGGAAATGAGACTGTGTTTGGAAAATAATTTCACTCTCGAATAATCTTAATCATTACGAACACTGTACCATTACTAAAAGCTGCACATTCATATTCACTGTGTTTAAAGGCCTGCAGCACAAGAACTGCTTATTCTAGAGGAAAACAGCTAATGCACCAAGGGCAAGGCTGTTATTCATTTTATCTGTAGAGACAAAATGATAATTTGATTTCCTGTACATTTCAGCTTTAGCTTGGTGGCAGTACTGTGAGTGGGAGCTGGACGTAGTTCCACTCCAAGTCTCACAACATCAGTGTGTAAGCTGCAACTCACCTTGAAGAGCACATAGAGCTCCTCCAGCTCATCAATACTGAAGGCAGTCTCTGTTACAATAGTTCTGACCTGAAACACAACATAATTACAGAGAACAATGTGAAGGAAGAAGAGAGCATCTACAGCAATAATGACTTTACTGTACAGTAGTTTTTTGTGCTTCAAAGCTCAGAACCAAGTGACTTAGTTTCCTGTGTTGACAGACAACCACTGTAATTACTTTAAAACAGGTGGGGGGGTGACCAGATAGGAGAGCACTGCAATAGTCCGGTCTGCCTGATATACTGTAAACATGTGTATTAATCTGTTGTATTAAAAGTGTACTTACCACATTGCGTTTTGTTGTATCTTCAATGGTTTGAATGACCCTCAGTCGCTGTTTGAAACGCATCTGTTCAATCACATCTGCACGAATAAAACCAAATTTCTGATACAAAAGAAGGAGAAACAGAAAAATATAGGTCAATTTATGTCTGACTTAGCACAGTGGAAATAACAAGAATGGCTGAAGACAAATGCATTAATGTAAAGAACTGAAGTAAAGTTAAAATCATATGAACTAAACAGATGCTGCCTTTCATTCAAAGCTGTAACATTACAACTTAAGGGGAAAAAAAAAACTTCAACAAATGAATGGAGAGAGAAACAGCAGGATCTGAACCATCACAAACTCAACCATAAGCCCATCTTTAAAGAATCCAGCTAACAGAGGTGTATTCAATTCCACTAGGATTACTTGATTAATGTCAGATTTATAGTTTTTGCCTGTGAGTCTCTATAACCAAAACAAGGCAATGTAAATACCTCGTAGGAGCTGCGGACCAGTTTGAAGATGTCGACCTCTGGATGTGGTTCTCCATTGTCTGTCAGCAATGAGTGCAAGTGGGGGATGGGAGGTAAAGTGCTGTCCTTATTGGTCACACTGTCCAAGTATCTACAATACACGATTAATCAGAGGAGACTATGTCAAATTTGTAAAGACAGTCTTTCATAAATGTAGAATACATTATCTGCAAACCCTGATAGACTGCCTAAGGGACATCAGATCATGGCTCTCAATTTTTTAAATATCAAGAGTAAAACCAAGCATTTTTTAAATTATGGTTCAAAAGTGTCTAATGCTGTTGATCTAGGCCCCATGGCATTATACCTGAAGCCTCAGACAAACAACCTAGGTGTGCTTTTTGATAGTTGACTAAAGATGGATAATAAGACCAACTCACTGGTAAAACAAGTTTCTTTCAGCTGAGATTGCTGGCAAAGGTCAAAATTTATTTGAATGATTTTGAAAAAGCAGTACATGCTTTTATTAGCTCATTTTTCCAGTCCTCTGGTCTGGATAACAAAACTTCGGAAATTTTTTTTTTACAATAAAACCTGAGGAAATTATGTGTAATGGGTAAAAATATGTTTATATTAATTCATGGGAACAGGTTAAAAAAAAAAAAAAAAAAAAAAAAAAAAACACACCTGACTAAATGCAGGTGGGCAGAGATATGAGAACTAAGACTTTGTGTCCTTTGCCTCTCCTTACCTGCCCAGGACGGTCATGGCCTCTCCATCGTCTTTGCAGCCCAGCAGGTGGTGGATGTTGGCGTGCAGCACAGAGAGCGCCAGCTGAAAGATGACCTTGATGCCATCGTAGAAGAAACAGTCCACCACCACCACTGCGCTCTCGAATGGCATGACAGACAGGAAGAGGGTGAGGAACCAGGAGAGAGAAATTGTGGAGATGACCCCAAGGTCCTGCATGCAGTCATACAGCTGGGGAACGTATTCACGGGCAAGCTCCTCAAACACGCCCTGATCAACTAGGGCTCCTGGGAAAGAGAGGGAAACAAGAAGAGAATGTTAAAGTCCTGGGGGCTGTGTCACATGGCCTCAACATCCAAGGTCGACTCCCAGCAGGAGAATCTATGTTGCATGTCACTCTCTCTGCCTTTGTTTCCTGTCTCTCACTAGCCGTTCAACTATCAAAAGGCAAAAATGCCAAAATGAAATCTTAAAACCAAACTAACAAAAACAAGGAGCTCTCTTTTCCTTCAACCATTTCTTCAAGACAACCAAGACCACAGCCTGAACAGAGCAGCATGGCAATACAGTGCAAAATCAAACTGTCACATGTTACTCAAACAGCACAATAACATCCAGTCAAAGTGCACATACAACATACAGCTCTGAATCTTTCTAACCCACAAACACAAATGCACATACTGACCTACAACTCTAGTGTTGTAGTAGTCGGGCAGCATCCTCTCACAGAGCGCCACTAGCAGCCAAAAAGCCTCCTCTTCTTTGGCATAGAGCAGCAACACCGATGTCACAATATTCATGGCCTGTGGAGTCAAGGCAGAGAAGAGAGAGGGGGAAAAAAAAAAAAAGAAGTACTGTGATGCACTGCCAGGCTTCTGTCTGCTCATGTGGAAAGAAAAACAAGTGCGTGTACCTGACAGTATCCAATATTGGGGTTTCTGAATGCATAAGCTGTGAGGACCCTGCGGAGGGCAGCAATGCCCATCTCATTCTGAAAGGCCGGGTGCTCAGGCAGAGAGCGGTGCAGGTCCCTTTCAATCTCTTCTGTTGCCAGGTTGTACTTGCCCATCGACTTCTCCACCAGGTCTTCGTAGTAGCCAGGGTGAGTGGCCATCTCGTTGATTGTCCCTGTGACAAACACATGAGATTTAGAGATTGAACGCAGCTCCTCCAAAACACTACAAAATTTATGGTAACATTGTTCGTGATGAAATGACAAACGTTTATCTTAAAGGATTTAAGATAAACTTTGACCATGGGCAAGGGAAATTAGTATCACAGCAACTGCAGAACACAAACAGATGCATTTATAAGTAACTTTCCAAAAAAGCAAGTGAAGCATGAATAAAGTAAAAGGCAATAAATGGAATGTACTATATTCCAGCAGCTTGCATATCCATCAAGGCATATTAAATCCTTTTATAAAGTGTTCATTAACTTCTCTTGGACAGGTTTTCTTTTCTGTTAACATTTTGTAAATAGTGACAATACATTGAATAATAAAAATGTGCTAGTGGCCTTTAAAAAGTAACATCTAGACCAGGGGTCTAGATTCCAGTCCTCGAGGGCCGCTGTCCTGCTTGTTTTCCCAACTATCCCTGCCTAACCTGCTGCTGATTACCTGGCTCAGGTGTGTTCAGTCAGTCAGAAGTTGGAAGATACCATCTTAGATGAAAGTGGAGGGAGGAAAGATAAAGTGAATTGGTATCTTCCAGCTTCTGACTGGCTGAACACACCTGAGCCAAGTAATCAGCAGCAGGTCAGGCAGGGATAGTTGGAAAACAAGCAGGATAGCGGCCCTCGAGGACTGGAATCTAGACCCCTGGTCTAGACACAAAGTTGCATTTCTGCTATTTGTTTTTTGCCTGCTATTGAAGCTTGTTTGGCAATATGATGTAGAATCCATCACAAACTTTTAGTTCTATTATTCCACAGTGTATTTCAAAATTAACAATGTGCATAGCAGCCACCTATTAGCTGGCACACAGATAACATGGGGAGAGAAATGCAAAAAAGGTCCCTAGTTAAAAATCAAACTGGATATTGCAATTATGGGGTACCCTGTAACCACTCGGTTACCAGGGCATTCCTCTATATGCTACTGTCTCTTTAGTAATGGGGCAGCTAGATTTGTATCTTAAATACTAAAAAAAAATTATTTGGAATGTAAAATGTGTAAAGTGACTGAAGGAAAATGTAAACTGAGCATACAATACATAAAGGGGCTGTAATTTGAATGACACTGGTATCCACATGCATAGAGGCCTGTTTTCAGATTGAACTAGTTGTCTGAGCAGCTTTGCAGAGTTCAGTCTGGAACAAGCCCCACAGCTGTTTTTTTTAAACACCCTTTGTTGTAAAAGGACATGCAATCAAGGCAACAACTGAATGTCTCACATAAGCTATTGTATGTTTATTTTACTTGTGGGAGATTAATGTGAGGAAGACTCATTTCAGAAGGTGCATGTGAGCGTGAGTAAGGTGAATGTAGTGCAGTTATGACAACAGCAGAATGAGCCATGAGTGAGGCACTAGAGAGAGGGAGGAGCTGATTGTGACCCAGCTCTGCTCAGGTGAGGATGACTGTGCTTCTAAACAGGAAAGTCTGGAGTCAGTGTATACCTAAAGATATACATAGCATGTTGTCACAGAGTTAAAGCCAAAAACAGCTGTATAGTTTGCAGGTAATGGAAACAATCACCAAATATTTGGTGACTAGGTTTATACAGTCATTTACTCTTCAAGCAGTCAAAATAAGAAGAACTTCAAAATATGCATGCTTTTGTTTAGGAGATGATTTCTTTACTTAACACAAATCTCCAAACACCTATTTTCTCTGCATAAGGAAAATAAATTCTATCATGTCAGGAGGATTAATAATGTACCAATACTGCCTCAGTAAATGCAAGACCACATTGTACTTACAGTAATGGAATTATTGTGTACATGTACACTGATGTGACTAACTGAATGGAACCAACGAACTGTAATATACAGTATAGAAGTCAAGATATTATTGGTCTTCATGTGGCCCTAGTTTGTCTTCCTGCTTTATACAGTATTAATGTTACATTTAGCAATGGGGCAGCTAGATTTGTATGTTAAATACTAAAAAAAAAAAAATTATTTGAAATGTAAATAGCAATGCAGAACAAGTAAACTGTTACATATAAATATTTGGGGTATAATCATGTATATACTGTACTTTTGCCTCCCAAAGAAGAGTTTTCTTTGACTCTCCTCTCCCAATCCAGTGGTTCTGAATTTTTTTCTGAAACAATGGGGACTGACCTCTACCGGTCTAGAAAAAAAAGCTAATTTGAGAAGAAATATAAAATTACTTTTTCCTGTGAAACAATGGCCCATTCTTGCCATGAGGCAACTACAGTATTAGCTGGCCTACATTTAGGTTATATGTGCAGGAGAGGACAGCTCTTTAGCCATGCAGAAACATGGCACATGCGCCATGTA